TGGAGATTCCCCCCAAAATTAAAAATAAAATTACCATATGATCCACTAATTCCACTACTGGGTATTTAGCCCCCAAATTGAAAACAATAATTCAGAAAAGATATATGCACCCCTATATTTATTGCAGCATTATTTACAATAGCCAAGATATGGAAGAAGCCCAAGTGTCCATCAATAGATGAATGGATAAAGAAGTGGTATATAACAACAACGGAAAAGAAGTGATGTATACACACACATGCATATTTGCATATGAACACACATACATATTCACACAATGGATTATTACTTAGCCATTCTAAGTTCCTTCAGAACATCTTTCCAAGAATTTTTATTTATTTATTTATTTATTTATTTTTTAGTAGTACAGAGAGTTTAATCAATGCCAAGGTTACACACCTAATAAGTGCAGTCGAATTTGAAACCTGACAGTGTTTTCTAATTTATTTTTTAAAATTTTATTTAAATCCAATTAATTTATGTATAATGTATTATTGGCTTTGGAAGCAGAGGTCAGTGATTCATCAGTCTTATGTAATACCCAGTGCTCATTACATCATAGCTCTCCTTAATGTTCATCACCCAGTTACCCCATTCCCCACCTCCTGCCCCTCCAGCAACCCAGTTTCCTATAATTAAGAGTCTTTTACAGTTTGTCTCCATCTCTGATTTCTTCTTGTTTTATTTTTTCCTCCCTTCTCCTATTATCCAGTTTTGTTTCTTAAATTTCCCCATATAAGTGAGATCGTATGATAATTTTATTTTCAGACTCACTCATTTCACGTAGCATAATATCCTCTAGTTCCATCTACATCATTGCAAATGGCAAGACTTCATTTTTTTGATGGCTGAGTAATATGTGTGGTATATATATTATATGTATAATATTATAATATATATTATAATATAATATAAAGGTATAATATACCGTTTTTTAAAAAATATTTTATCTATTTGAGAGAGAGAGAGAGAGGCAGAGATAGTGACAGAGTAGGAGCAAGGAAGACAGGGAAAAGCAGGCTCCCCGCCGAGCAGGGAGCCCAAGGTGGGGCTTGATCCCAGGACTCTGAGATCATGACCTGAGCTGAAGGCAGACACTTAACCCACTGAGCCACCCAGGTGCCCCCATACCACATCTTCTTTATCCATTCATCTACTGATGGACATCTGGCCTCTTTCCATAGTTTGGCTATTGTGGACATTGTCACTATAAATATAGGGGGGGAGGTGTCCCTTTTGATCACTACGTTTGTATATTTGGAGTAAATATCCAGTAGTGCAATTACTGGGTTGTAGGGTAGCTCTATTTTCAACTTTTTGAGGAACCTCCATATTGTTTTCCAGAGTGGCTGCACCAGCTTGCATTCCCACCAACAATGTATGAGGGTTTCCCTTTCTCTGAATCCTCACCAACATTTGTTTCCTGTCTTGTTAATTTTAGTCATTCTGACTGGTATGAGGTGGTATCTCATTGTAGTTTTGATTTATATTTCCCTGATGCCCAGTGATGCTGAACATTTTTTCAAGTGTCTGTTGGCCATTTGTATGTCTTCTTTGAAGAAATATCTTCATATCTTCTGCCTGTTTCTTGACTAGATTTTTTGGGTTTTGGGTGTTGAGTTTGATAAGTTCTTTGTAGATTTTGGATACTAGTCCTTTATTTGTGGTGTCATTTGCAAATATCTTCTCCCATACTGTAGGTTGCCTTTTGGTTTTGTGGACTATTTCCTTTGCTGTGCAAAAGCTTTTTAACTTGATGTCCCAACAGTTCATTTTTGCCCTTGTTTCCCTTCCTTTTGAGACATATCTGGTAAGAAGTTGCTGCAGCCAAAGTCACAAAGTTTGCTGCCTGTGTTCTCCTCTAGGATTTTGATGGATTCCTGTCTAACATTTAGGCCTTTCATCCATTTTGAATCTATTTTGTGTATGGTGTGAGGAAATGACCCAGTTTCATTGGTCTGAGTGTGGCTGTCCAATTGTCCCAACACCATTTGTTGAAGAGACTGCCTTTTTTCCATTGGATATTTTTTCCTGCTTTGTCAAAGAGGAGTTGACCATAGAGTTGAAGGTTCATTTCTGGGTTCTCTATTCTGTTCCATTGATCTGTGGGGTTTTTTTTTGTGTGTGTGTGTGCCAGTACTATATTGTTTTGATGATTACAGCTTTGTAATAGAGTTTGAAATCTGGAATTGTGATGCCACCAGTTTTGGTTTTCTTTTTCAACATTCCTTTGGCAAATCGGGGTCTTTTCTGGTTCTCTGAAATAAGTTGATGGTATTTTTAAAAAAGATTTGAGAGAGAGACAGAGATAGTGACAGAGAGCACAGCAGGGAGGAGAGGGAGAAGCAGGCTTCCTGCTCGACACAGGGCTCAATCCCAGGACCCTCGGCAGACGCTTAACCAACTGAGCCACCCATGTGCCCCAATTCATTGAGTTGCATTGAATGTATAGATTGTTCTAGGTAGCATAGACATTTTAACAATATTTGTTCTTCCAATCCATGAGCATAGAATGTTTTTCCAGTTCTTTGTGTCTTCCTCAATTTCTTTTATGTGTGTTCTATAGTTTTCTCAGTACAGATCCTTTGCCTCTTTGGTTAGGTTTATACCTAGGCATCTTGTGGTTTGGGGTGCAATTGTAAATGGGATTGACTCTTTAATTTCTCTTTCTTCTGTCTCATTGTTAGTGTATAGAAATGCAACTGATTTCTGTGCATTGATTTTATATCCTGCCACTTTGCTGAATTCCTATATGAGTTCTAGCAATTTTGAGGTAGAGTCTTTTGAGTTTTCCATATAGAGTATCATGTCATCTGTGAAGAGTGAGAGTTTGACTTCTTTGCCAATTTGAATGCCTTTTATAAATATATTGTTTTGTCTGATTGCTGAGGTTAGGACTTCTAGAACTATGTTGAACAACAGTGGTGAGTGTGGACATCGCTGCCATGTTCCTGACCTTAGGTGGAAAGCTCTCAGTTTCTCCCCATTGAGAACGATATTGGCTGTGGGCTTTTCATAGACGGCTCTTATGATATTGAGGTATGTTCTCTCTATCCCTACACTGTGAAGAGTTTTAGTCAAGAAAGAATGCTGTACTTTGTCAAGTGCTTTTTCTTTATCCATTCATCTGCATCTATTGAGAGGATCATGTGCTTCTTGTCCTTTCTCTTATTAACATAGTATATCAAACTGATTGATTGGCAAATGTTGAGCCACCCTTGCAGCCCAGGAATAAAATCCACCTGGTCATGGTGAATAATGCTTAATGTACTGTTGGGTCCTATTGGCTAGTATCTTGGTGAGATTTTTTGGCATCCACGTTCGTCAGGGATATTGGTCTGTAATTCTCCTTTTTTGGTGGGGTCTTTGTTTTGTTTTGGGATCAAAGTAATGCTGGCCTCATAGAAAGCGTTTGGAAGTTTTCTTTCCATTTCTATTTTTTGAAACAACTTCAGAAGAATAGGTATTAATTCTTCTTTAAATGGGTAAAATTCCCCTGGGAAGCCATCTATCCCTGGACTTTTGCTTGTTGGGAGGTTTTTGATTACTGCTTCAATTTCTTTGCTGGTTATTGGTCTGTTCAGATTTTCTATTTCTTCCTGCTTCAGTTTTGGTAGTTTATACATCCCTAGGAATGCATCCAGATTGCCTAATGTGTTGGCATATAGTTGCTTACAATATGTTCTTATAATTGTTTGTATTTTTTTGGTGTTGGTTGTGATCTCTCCTCTTTCATTCATTATTTTATTTATTTGGCTCCTTTCTCTTTTATTTTTGATAGGTCTAGCCAAGAGTTTATCATTCTTATTAATTCTTTCAAAGAACTAGCTCTTAGTTTTGTTGATCTGTTCTACTGTTCTTTTGGTTTTTATTTCATTGATTTCTGCTCTAGTCTTTATTATTTCTCTTCTGCTGTATGTAGGCTTTATTTGCTGTTCTTTCTCCAGCTCCTTTAGGTGTAAGGTTAAGTTGTATATTTGAAACCTCTCTTGTTTTTTGAGAAAGGCTTGTATAGCTATATACTTCCCTCTTAGGACTGCCTTTGCTGCATCCCAAAGCTTTTGAATAGTTGTGCTTTCATTTTCATTTGTTTCCATGAATTTTAAAAATTCTTTATAATTTCCTGGTTGACCCAATTCTTTTTTTTTTAGTAGGATGCCCTTTATCCTCCATGTATTTGAGTTCTTTCCAAATTTCCTCTTGTGATTGAGGTCCAGTTTCAAAGAATTGTGGTTTGAAAATATGCAGGAAATGATCTCAATCTTTTGGTACCAATTGAGAGCTGATTTGTGACCCTAAATGAATCAAAGATGAGTAGAAGGAACCTTTATTTCTGGCCATTTAGTTGAAAGAGAAGGGACAGATAACAAGCGGCTAGAGAGGGGGCATCAAGTTCCAGGATGGTTTCTTGCTATATCATAGTTATTTCATCTTTGAGAACATAGGCTCTGTCAGGCAGTGCTTGCTATCCCCCATGTTGCCTTGTACTTAAGAGGTTATTAAATAACTGTGTGTGCATTGAAATGAGTTTCAAGTTTCTAGATTCAAAGATATGAAACAGATTGCAAAGCTCCAGTGATTTCTGAATCACCTAATACTGTTAGATAATCTAGGTTAGGGATCCCTGGGTGGCGCAGCGGTTTGGCGCCTGCCTTTGGCCCAGGGCGCGATCCTGGAGACCCGGGATCGAATCCCACATCGGGCTCCCGGTGCATGGAGCCTGCTTCTCCCTCTGCCTATGTCTCTGCCTCTCTCTCTTTCTCTCTCTGTGACTATCATAAATAAATAAAAATTAAAAAAAATCAATCAATCTTTAAAAAAAAAAGATAATCTAAGTTATTCCTTGTTTTCCCTTCTTAATTGGGGGAGAGATATCACAAGCTGACTTTTCATCCAGTCTCTAAGGCTCTGAAGAGGTGGCCCTCTTACTATATTTAACAAAGCTTTGAAAAAATGGGTTACATATCAGTAAGGATGACCAACGAGGCAAAAGGACTTACCTTGGCTCTTTTTCATTTACATCCACATTATCATAGATACTAACTTCCTGAGACCTAAGTTCTGGGGTCAAGACAAGATCAAAATAGTTCATTATTAGGTACAGTTTATACACTCCCTCACTTTCCAAGTTATCCATAAAACCCAGTTATCCAAGTGCATTCCCATGTCTGTTTTATCAAAACCTGATCATAGAACACAAGCTGGAAGTATCAAAGAACAAAAAGAATCTCCATTTGGGAAGAAATTCCAGTGAGAGATTAAAAAGTAGTGGAATGCCCTAGTATTTCAAATACAGATATATATATATAATTTATATATATAAATTAATATCTATCTATATAGATATCTATATAGGTAGATATAGATATAAATTTAATTTCATGCAGATTTTCAGAAAATATGCGTTATTGAAAGGATCATTTTTAGAGTAGGTTCCCATCATCCCTGAAGTGGACAAAGATGTTCTACTTCTAGAATAGTAAGTGGGCTTTTCCTAATTCCTGGGGAAAAGACAGTGTTAAGTAGAATATTCATGTTGATTTTTTCCCCATTATTTTTATTTCAAAACTGGCAACTGTTCTTCTATACTAATTCGCATAAAATTGCATCTTAGTGCATAATCATAATTAGACATTTTTAGTTCAGGATATTTACATTCCTTGGTACTCTACATGGAATTCCATAATTTTTTTAAGAGGTGGGAAAAGGGTAGAGAGAAAGGAAGGGAGAGAATCTTAAGTTCCACACCTAGTTGTGGAGCCCAACATAGGGCTCTATATCACAACACTGAGATCATGACTTGAGCTAAAATCAAGAGTCAGATACTTCACTGACTATACCATCTAGGTGCCCCAGAATTCCATATTTAAGTGATTCACCACTTTGAATGAGTTTGAGACTTTCTGATATAATTATCCATAATTCATATTGGATTATTCATAAATTTGGGTGGGAGTACAATGCATGCCTTTTCTAAGTTGGCTTTTTGGATTTTTACATAGACCTAAGGAACTTTTGGGAGACTTGTGATTTTACCAGGTTTATTTACAGAACCTTCATTTGTTATTTAGTACAGCAAACGCTTATTTCTGGAATATGATATATTTGAATTGCCTAATAAGAGTAAACCCATGACTAGAGCTCACAAACAAAAACTGACAAGCGACAACCTTGTCGCGGCCCTCTTTTATTGATAGATTCAACTCACTGAACATGTACTGAGATTATATTATACATCAGGCAATATGCTAATTTGTGCACTACAGTTTTTATAGCAAAGAATATTTCAATGACCCATCCTTGATACAATTAGTATGTGTATTGCAACGTGATCTTGTCCAATTTATTATGTCTTAATTAACGGTGATTTGGCGTCAAATCCTTCAAGAGGCTGTGTGATATAATGTAAAATGCACAAGCTCTGTAATCAGGGAGACTTGGTACAAATCCCAGATCACTAAAGTATGGATGTGGGTCTTAGAGCCTCCCTAAAAAGATATCTATTTTTCTGGGATTTTAAAAGAACTGGTATACAGTAGGCACTTAAGAAATATTACTCATCTTCCCCGAAGTAGGTGATACTGTTGTGTAAAATATCTTGATTTTTATATATCAATTTTTCATTAAATGTGGAATGAAGGAAGGATTACTACTTCTCCTTCCTTGTCCCTGAATATGCTAATGTTGAGTAGTTTTGTATCAGCAATTAGTAAATGTCACTTACCTAAATCAGGCAGCGAAATTGAAAATGCACTGTTGATTGACAAAAGACACAAAAGGGTTAAGGAAAAAAAACAGGTTCAGAAAGATTAGTTGACTCATCTCAAGTAACACATTGATGACTAGGTTTCTTGATGCAAATGTGTCTTGGCAAAGATGTGAAGCAGTCCTTTCCTATAGCTTTGTTCTGATTAACCTTCTCCTCACTTCCATACCACCATTTAAAAATGAGCTTATGTATCCCCAGGGACCACCCATTACCCACCCCTGCCCCTTTCCTAACTAGACAACCTCAGGCTCTGCCCTTGTCCATCCACAAGATCCTATTTCCGCCTTTTAGCCTTCCAAGATGCCCATCAAATACAGGTATGCCTCGTTTTATTGCACATTGTTTTTTTGCACTTCACACATACTGTATGTATATATATATATATATAGTATATATATAAAATGGAAGGTTTATGACAACTCTACATCAAGCAAATCTATCAGTACTATTTTTTCCAACAGCATTTTCTTACTTTGTGTCGCTGTGTCATATTTTGGTAATTCTCACAATATTTCAAACTTTTCTGCTCTTATATTTGTTATGATGACCTGTGATCACTGATTATGACTCACTAAAGCTTAGATGATGGTTAGCATTTTTTTGGCAATAGATTACTTTTTAATTAAGGTATGTACATTTTTTAAAACATGGTTCACACTTAATAGACCCTAGTATAGAGTATATATAACTTTTATATGAACTGAAAAACCAAAAAAATTTGATTCAATATATTATAACATTTGCTTTATTGTAGTCATCTAGAACCCAACCTATAATAAATATCTTTTTACAATATATTTTTAATTAAAGTTCAATTTACCAACATATAGTATAACACCCAGTGCTCATCCCATCAAGTGCCCTCCTCAGTGCCCATCACCCCAGTTATGCCATCTCCCCCCGCCCGCCTCCCCTTTCACTACCCTTTGTTCATTTCCTAGAGTTAGGAGTCTCTCATGTTTTGTCATCCTCTCTAATTTTTCCCACTCATTATCTTTGAGATGCACCTGGACATCCACTGTGTGATGAATATGGTGAAAGACAACTACCCTCTGCAGATACAGAATCCTGCCTATGTATATGGTTAAGCTAAAAGGATATCTTGCGAGCAAAAGTTCCAGGCCAGAGGGAAATGGAAGATAGCAAATTGCTAAGTGAGAGAGGACATTTGGCCCAGGTAGACTATTTGGTTACACAGTTAAGGAGATGGAAGGAAGTATGGTCTGGCAGGAAAAAAATTCTGTATTTTAAGCAATTAATTTAAGTTCAGTCCTACAGGTATTAGGGAAACACTCATCATGGGCCAGGGCCAAGTGCTAGGTATACAAAATGATCAGAAAAAGTGTCTACCCTGAAGTAGCTTAGTGTTTGGTGAGGGAGATCAAAAATAAATTGGTACAACACTGTATGATAAGAACATAATAAAGGATTGTCCAAAGAAACAGCACTTTTGGGAAAATCAGCTAACCTTTATGCAAACCTTGGTTTCTTCATTTCTAAAGAATACCAGCTATATCTTACAGGGTGAGTATTAGAGCTGGATGCAGCATACTTCGCTGGATGTGCCTGGAAAAGTTGCTGAGGACTTACTCACTGTCCCTGCTGTCAATAACTGTATGACCAGACTGGCTTCTGCCAGAATAGAGAAGCAGTACAAGCAGTACAAGGCCCCTGGAGTCAGAGAGACCTGAATCTAACTCTTAGTTCTGCTACTTATCCACTTACCCTATGCAAGTCACATATTTTTCAAAGCCTTAATTTTTCATCTGGGAAACAGGAAAGATTCCATCTCATGGGGTATTGTGACAATTGGAAGGAGAACACATGTGACGCACTTCACCCTCCTTGTCTTCAGTGCCTTGGTTGCACACACCTTTGGCCTCTCCACTCCAGGGTTCCTTGCTCAACGAAGCCTTTCTTAACACTGGTTCCTTTCTTCTCTTTTAATTGGGTCAGGGTGATGGTGGCGCCTATTGAAACTAGAAACTGAGGCTACAAAAAAATCTAGAATGGTATTTCCTTCTTCTAGGTCATTTATTCATCCAATAGCCATTTATTGAGTACCTATCATGTCCTATGAACTTTTATGTTGGAGATATAGCAATGGACAAAACAGTCAATATCCCTGCCCTCATGGATTCTAGTAGGGTGAAGCAGACAAAACAAGGAAATTTATGTTCTGTCATGTGAGAAGAAAAGTGCAATTGAAAAGAGCAGAGCAAGATAAGGGAGCAGGAAAGCTGAAGGTGAAGGTTGGCTTGCCATTTTTCAGAAGATGGTCAGGGAAGGGTTCACTGATAAGGTGACTTGAGTAGAACCCTGAAGGCAGAGAGTGAGTAACATGGTTATCTGAGTAAGAGTATTCTGGGAAAGGGAAGAGCAAATGCAGAGACCTTCCAGCAGAGGTGTGCTTGGTCCTTTAAAGAAAAGCGAGGAACTCAGTGCATCTGGAATAGAGGAGTGAGAATGGGTTTAACATCTAATTCCCATGCAAAATTTATGGCACAGCTACGGTGGGTGGCATTTAATTATTGGTTTATTTATATCTAAATCAGGCCATTTAATGAGCATTCTAATAGATTGTGTGTCTGAGAGGAAGAGAGGATAGAGAGCCTTACTCCTTTTTTTGCTTTGTTTCATTTTGTTTTTAGAAGACCCTTACTCTTTTTAAATGCCACATTCCCATGGTTACAACTTCCCTCTGAAGGTAATAATCAACTAGGAGTTGGTGTTCAAGAGAGGAACCCTCAATCAAAAGGCTCAACAAAAGGTAATAAAATTCCATCCTGTCTGGTTATATCTAAATGTTATTAACTGAGAAATTAAGGCAGAGAGATTTGCCAAAACTTATGGGAAAAAAATCTTATCAGATTCTCCTAAAGATGAAACATCTTTCTCTGTAGGTGGTAATTTCTCTTTTATAGAGGTGTGCAGGCACAGATATTTGGCTTGTTGGGAAGTTTGCAGAGAAGCTTGTATAGTGGGTTGGACTAGATAATGTGGATTTCTCTTGTTACCCTGAGATGCTCTGACTCCAAGAAAAAAGGTTTCTCAGGAATATTAATAGATGTTATAAGACAAAAACTGGATGTTAGGGAGAGATTGATCCAAATTTGAGTAGAGAGGTTCAGGGAAGGTGTCCCAAAAGGGATAATACTAGGCCATATTTTAAGGGGAGACTAGAACTGTGGTAATCAAAGGAGGTTGGAGGAGGGCAGGTATATTCAATACCAAGGGGATATTATGGTTAAAGAGGCATGCAATACCATGGCAAAGTTAGGTCTTGGAGTATTTATATGGGATAGTAGAGAGTGGAGATCTAAGCAAGAGAGAGAATTGGACAGGTAAGAAGGGAGCTGCCATAAAGTATTTACTTGCCATAGAAAGAAACTGGATATTTGTTCTAAAAGTTGTAAGGAATCACTCAATAGTTCTAAGAAAAAGGAAATTAGGTCTGCATTTAAAGATATCAGCATTCTCTTCTGGATCAAAATTTTTTTAAAGATTTATTTATTTTAGAGAGAGAGAGAGAGTAAGCAAGTGAGTGAGGTGAGAAGAAGGGCACAAGGAGAGGAGAGAGAATCCCAAGCAGACTCCCCACTGAGCACAGAGCCCAACATGGGGCTGGATCCCACGACCTGAGATCACAACCTGAGCTGAAACCAAGAGTTGGATACTTAACTGACTGTACCACCTAGGTGCCCCTCACCTGGATCAAATTTTTATGGGACCACAACCATCATAATTTTTTGTCAGAAGCATCTAACCTGCTAGGGCCAGAGAATGCCTTTGTGTATAGGTCTTATTGACCACTGTAGCTCTATTTCCATAGTCAGGACTAATTTATGAACCCCATATTTTGTTGGATCTCTTGGTAGATCTAGATCCACCAGACATTTGGGCTTCAAATCACATAATTTTGAGGCTTTATGATTGAAAAGAACTTCAAGGTAGAGTAAAAACTCCATGCCAATATGCCTTATGACCTTAGGGAAATTACTTTACCATCCCTTGCCTCATAAAACATAGACCTATGTTTCTACCCATTTCTACAGATTAGAGAGAGAAATGCCTCTAGAGACTACTCAGTCTCCCTTCTATTCAAGAGGAAATGCTGGTTGGATCATGATTTGCCAATGACTGCCCATTGAATAAATGGCAGAGCTGAAACTAGAATCCAGGTCTCCCATCTCTACAGCTAGTAAATTTGTAAACTTCTCAAACATTGCTACTTAGTTGGGGAGATCTTGGAGGGTCCTTCTCCAGGTCTAAGACCATGAGATACATGAACCAGTCAGCTGGGAAGTTCATTTTCCCCTCTCTACACACTGCTTCTCACCAGAGAGGCATATTAGAATATGGAAGTGTAGACAAATAAAACCATCTGAACTTATAGGGCTATAAAAGCATAAAAGGATGTAATTAATAACCTAATGGTTAGTGGGAACAGGAATATATGCCAAAGGCGATAAGAAAAAAATTTCCTTTCTAGACTTTGCTTGATTTCTTCTCTTTACCCTTGTTTACAACTCTTTATCATCATTTTTTTTTTCCGAAAGGAATATTGTTACAGTCTTATTAGTATCTGTGGGTGTGGTTCACTCACAAATTGGAAAGGAGGAGACAGGTGTTAACTAGGGCCTTTGGTTTTAGCTTCAGATACCCCCTGCACTGTTTTTGAGGATAGGATATATAACTACCAGGCTGGCACTGCTAGTCCTCTCCTGGAAAGAAAAAGTAAAAAAAAAAATTACCTTATATTTTCTTTCAACTTATTTTTCTTCATTTTAAATCTCTCCTTTTCTTTCTTGAAGAATTTCCGTAGTCTTTTCAGTGCTTCTTTTCCATCTAAACTAAAAGGAATCAGGGGGTGTAAATAGCATGCCATTTGAGAGAGTAATAGAGATGGAGGAGGCTCATACAAGAACACATCCTACTGCAGGTAGAGGCAGAAAATACCTTATCAACTTCTATGCTCTTCTTTTTCGTTTAGATACCAATATGAAGTAACACTTACTATTTAGCTATGAAGGGAATTACACTTCCATACAAACTTTCATCCACCCCAAATGGTCTCTATTTTGAGGATATGAAGCAAAGCCTTACTTTTAGAGATGACGACTTAGGGAAGCATAGTTTATAAATTATGTTTACAAATATGTTTTGGAATTTCTGGCTCTTGAAATCCACATCACTGACTTTTAATTTACTGAATGATGTCACAACAATGGTGGTACATTTACTGCCCAGCTGATGATTACAATCCTTCCAAATATGCTCCTAGATTTTTTAGAGGGTAGGGAGAGGGAATGATACACCCGTACCATTCTACCCAGTGTGGATCCCTACTCTTCCCTTCAACCCCCAACCTTCTTGCTTTTTGACCATTGCTGTTTTCATTTCCACAGTATGCCCCCAATAACTAGACTTGATGAATAATGCCCATTTGAATATTCCTGATAACATGGAATTCTTAGATAGTAAATTAAGCCAAAATCCCAGAGACAGCCTTATTAACTTGCAAAGACACAGGTTAAGTCATACCCATTGGTTTCTTCCTGGAAATACTATGATAGAACTGCAGCAAGTTTTATTGATACTTACCTCTCCCTTCACACTTATTTCCTAACACAATATTAAAGCCCTCTACTTTGAGAGGTGGACATTTTCTCAAAAGAGAAAGCAATAAAATTAAAAATTAAAGCATGTGGTTAGATACAATCGCAAGTCTCTTATTCATCACAGTGTGGTATTAAAATATTTTATCTCCACTCTTGATGCAGATCTTCCCTGAGGATGATAGGGTCAAGGGAAGGGGATTGTTTCTTCAACTCTGGTTTTCCTACACTAATAGGGAAATACCATTAGCTACAAACTAAGAAAAAAGAGAAACTCACTCTATTTTTGGGTAGTTGCTCTTTGTTTTATAGACCTCTTCATATACTTCTTCACAATTTTCTTCTGAAATAGAAAAAAAGTGATTTTCATTTATAATGACAATAATTCAGATATCATGAGAAGTTACTGGATACCTATCAGGTGTTAGGTACACTTTGATGTCAAATAGATTTTTTACATAAGCATATGGTAAAAATAATTAAACTTCTATAAAGGTATGTACATATTTGCTTCTACCCCATTATTCCAAGTCTGATCTGATGTAGTCAAAGAAAACTGGTTTATTAACAAATTCTTTCCTTCTTCCCTCTTGCCATGCATATTTCATATATAGTTTTCAGAGTCTACTAAAAATCTGAATGCTGAGGCAATAATGGAGAACTGAAGCATCTTGAGTAATCTTTCTTGATAGCATGGCTTTAGCCTAGCCCAACACATGAGCTTAAAGTACAGATACACTTTGAGGCTACCCTGCAAGGGAATGATTTTCAGTCTTAAAAGGTAACTCACATACAGTGAGTTTAGGAGAGTCACGTAAATCCTCCATGCCTTAGTTTCCTTTCTAAAACGGGGTACTAAGTTTCATGATCTCCAAGGTTGTTTCACCATCTCAAATTCTGACATTCTAAGGAGGACAAAAGCAACCAGATCAGCATTTGATTATAACCTCCTCTATTATTTCTTTATCCATGCATATTCAGTAAATAGTTTTGGAATGTCTCACATGTGCCTGGCATTATACTAGGGGCTAGGAAAAATAGCAAGCATATAGAAGATAACAATCTAGGAGAGAAGACAGTTACTAATGTAAGAATCACAAATGTAGGGGATCCCTGGGTGGCGCGGCGGTTTAGCGCCTGCCTTTGGCCCAGGGCGCGATCCTGGAGACCCGGGATCGAATCCCACATCGGGCTCCCGGTGCATGGAGCCTGCTTCTCCCTCTGCCTATGTCTCTGCCCCTCTCTCTCTCTCTCTCTCTCTCTCTCTCTCTATCATAAATAAATAAATAAAAATTAAAAAAAGGAAATGCCTTTAAAAAAAAGAATCACAAATGTATAAAATTATAACTATAAAGTGCTGCAAGGGACGGCCGTGATATAGGAGATTGATGAGACTGTACACCAACGGGAATATTTCCTGGGGCAATAATGAAGGAGCTGGGACCAGAGGAGACAACAGTCATGTAGGCAAAGGGGCCAAGGGGAGGGAAGAACACTCCGTGAAGAAGGAAGAGCATATGAGAACACTCCATGGTGGAGCTTGGTAAGTCAGAGAAACTAAAAGGAAGTAGGCATGAATGGATCTCGAGGATGAAGACTGTGTATAGTGTGAAGTCTTTAGTGGCAGGTAGAGGAAAACCACTCAAGGCCTCTAGACCACATGAAAGGTGATCTTAAAAGTATTAAGAAACCACAATTGTGTGTTATTTAAATAATATTCCTAGAATTTAAGAAAGAAAACAGATGAACATATGGGAAGGGGAAAAGAAACAAAGGAGAGAGGGAAACAAGCCATAAGTGACTTCACAATGAAGAACAAATTGAGGGTTGAGGAAGGGAGGGGGGGTGAGGAATGAGCATTAAGGAGGGCACTTGTGATTAGCACTGAGTATTATACATAAGTGGTGAATTACTGAATTCTACCCCAGAAACCAATATTGCACTGTATGTTAACTAACAAAATATAAATTAAAAAACACCATTCCTGTAATCAGACCTGCATTGTGAAGCAGTCAGGAAGGAGGACATTTCACAGTGAAGTTGCTTTTTTGGTGCAAGAGCCCCATTATTAGAGTCTTCACCTTCATGATTCTAAGTGGATTTTTTAGCACATACCTCAGACCACTTCTCCCATCAAGCTTACCATCACCTTGCCTGATTGACATTATTAAAATATACATAGATAAAAGACACTTTACACTAATCAGCCACAGAAGCACTCAGCAATTTCTACCAACAGTCTCAAGTGTCTTCTTATACTTACCATTATCAGAAGCAAATGAGCTAGAGTAGTCTGACCTTGGTCTGCAGGAAGAAATAATGCAAAGACCGTTAACCTACTGTGTTGTACCTGTAGTCTTGCCACAGTCATCTCCAGTCTCACCACACCGCTGACATGCACTTACCCTGCCTTCCCGGGGTACTCAACATCATCATATGTCTCGTCTGAGATGGAGAGAGGCTTACAGACCCCTCCGTCTGGAGTTTCTTTCGTGACCTCTAAGGCCTCCACATACCCACCTGTAAGGAAAACAGAGAAAGTCTTGAAGAATAGCTCATCAACTGCTACCATAAATGCATTCACACATGCCATGGCAGTGAAGGCAAGAATAGGAAAGGCAGATTTCATAATCTGAAACTGGATTATAATCTTGGTACGTATGCTTCTTTGGCACATCACTTCAGCTTGCAGAGACTCAATTATGTCCATGAAGTTGGGACAATAATAACACCAACTCTTATGTGATTGTGGCAAGGATGAATATGTATTTATGAAGAGTGCTAGCCTAGTGACCCATATTTTTTTTTGATGGCTCTTCTTTAATCTCTGACCTCAGATGGTGAGATCCTCCAGGGTACAGCCCTGGAGTTCCTCTCTATTTCTTTTTTTAAAGATGTATTTATTTATTTGAGAGAGAGAGCGAGCAAGAGAGTGCATATGAGTGCACACGTGTAGGGAAGGGGCAGAAGGAGAGAAGGAATCTCAAGCAGACTCCCCACTGAGCATGGAGCCCAACATGGGGCTCAATACCCCGACCTGAGATCACGATCTGAGCCAAAACCAAGAGTCAGATGCCCAACTGGGTCATGCAGGCACCTCTTCTCTCTCTATAAATCTAGATGACCTTGTCCAATTTTGAGTCATTTTCCCCTCAAATTTCTTAGATAAGTTGATTGAGCATATTAACATTTCTTATTCCCTTAGTGTTTGAATTAGCCAGAAGATGGTGTGCCCAGTTGAAAAATGTACAAGGATTTTTGGCACAAGTAGCTAGCCTGTTAATTGCACGTGCTGATTTATTTCACAGAACTGCAAACTTGTCATAACCATAAAACTGCTACATTTTTATCGGTTGGCCTAGGTTAATATTTTGAGTATGAGTGATTCAGAACCATTTTCACATATGAACTATTAATCAGAAAGAAGAAGTGATACATCTGAAAAACAAGCAGTAAGCAAATTGACTTCTGTCAATTAAATGAACCAAACAACAAGATTTAATCCCCTGATAAGGAGACGCCTGGGTGGCTCAGTGGTTGAGCGTCTGCCTTTGGCCCAGGGTGTGATCCTGGGGTCCTGGGATCAAGTCCCACATCTGGCTCCCTGTATGGAGCCTGGTTCTCTCTCCGCCTGTCTCCACCTCTCTCTGTATCTCTCATGAATAAATAAATAAAATCTTTGAAAAAAGATTTTATCCCCTGATAAGAAATCAATTAGCATGTAGACTCTAAACTATCTCAAGCATGTTAGCTCCTTGAGCTATGAGGTGCTGCTTTTTCTTAAGGAGTTACCAGTAAATTTCTCTACCACAAAGCAAAGATGCTGGACACATAGGTGCTTAATTCCTAGTTCAAGATATTTTTTTTCTTTCTTAATCCTTCCTTTTGGCTGCAGCAAATATAAAAGTTTATGGATTCTTTTTAAAAAACACAGACAACTACCAAATTTACATCTCTAAGTTAGACATCTTTCCTGAATGCTAGATACTCCATCAGCCTTCACACTACTCCCATTTGGTTGTCTAAACACATTATGCTCCAAACCAAACTCACAGTTTCTCTCCACAAATCTGCTTTTTTTCTGAAGTCGGCTCCATCTCAATAAAAAGTGGCAACCCATCCTTTCAGTTGTTCAGGTCCCAAGCATGAAGACATCCTTGACGCCCTACTCTACATCCAAATTCTATCCTGAATCCAAACGCATCTCAACAAGTCTACCACGTATGCTCCTCCAAGCTCCTGTCATCTCTCACATTAGTGCAATAAGCTCCTAACAGGTCCCTGATTTATCCCTTCGCAATTCTTCTTTCATGACTGCAGCCAGAATGATTCTTTAAATATAATCAGATCATTCTGTTCTTGTGCTCAAAACCTCTCATTCATTCTTAAAAATCTGTCAGAGTAAATGCCAAAGTTATTGCAATGGTCTACAGAAGCCCCCACATTATCTGGCCCCTTGTTGTGTCTCTGACCTCATCTCCTACAATACTGTGCTCCAGCCATACAGCCTTCCTGCTGTTCCGTCCCCATATGGGGTAGGCTCCCGTCTCAGGATATTTGCATTCCTTCTCCCCTCTCCCCAGAATATATTTTTTAAAGATTTTATTTATTTGAGAGACAATGAACAAGAAGGACGGGGGGAGAAACACAGTCCTCGCTGAGTAGGGAGCCCAATGCAGAGCTTGATCCCAGGATCCTGGGATCACGACCTGAGCCGAAGGCAGATGCCTAACTGACTGAGCTACCCAGGTGCCCCTCCCCAGAACATTCTTACCCTACATACACTTGGCTCTCCTCATCCTTTTTTTTTCTTTACTTCTCTAAAGTGACCTATGAATATTCTAAAATTATAACTTCTAACTCCATTTGCTTTCCTGATTCTTTTCTTGCTTTATTTTTTTCTATAACATTTACTACCATTTTGGATATTTTGTTGTTTATATATTTACTATCTCTCTCCTCTGATCAGAATGAAAACTCCATGAACATAGAGATTTTTGCTATACCCCAAACACCTAGAATAGGGCCAAATAAATGGCACTCCAATATCTTTTAATATTAAATGATTTGAATGCATAAGTCTCCTAACTAGAGTGTTTTGTGTATTGAGTTTATAGTGTTTACTGATATATTAAACTTTATATTTGCTATCTCATTACATACTTATTTGTTCTATTTTCCCCCCCCCGTCTTCCTCTTTCTTTATTTTTAAAATATTTTATTTATTTATTCATGAGAGACACAAAGAGAGAGAGGCAGAGATATAGGCAGAGGGAGAAGCAAACTCCATGTGGGGAGCCCAATGCGGGACTTGATCCTGGGACTCCAGGATCACACCCTAAGCTGAAGGCAGATGCTCAACCACTGAGCCACCCAGGCATCCCGGCACCTTCCTCTTTCTTGACTGAGATCTCTTCTTTCTGTATTGTTTGGAAGAAATATGTGCTTTCTTTTAATAGTTACCCTAGTGTGTTTTAAATTTTAATTATAACATACAGGAAAAAGCACAAATCATAAGAGTACAGCTCAATGGATTTTTCCCAAATCGAACCTGTTCATGTACAGAGCACACAGATAAAAAATATCTAATACCGTCAGGGCCCCCAAGCCCTTCCCATGCTCTGTTCTAGTCCTCCTTCCCTCCCACAAGGGTAGCCACCATCATAATGCTTAATATCAGAGGTCAATTCTGCTTATTTCTTAATTTTACATTAATAGAATCATTCAGAATGTTCTCTTTGGTGTTGCCTACTTCTCTTCAGTACTCTGTGACATTCACCTGTGCTGTTGCATATGGCTGTAATTTGTTCATTCCTATAAAGATTCCATGTATGAACAAACTACATTTATCCATTCTACTTTAGATGGACATATGGATGGTTTCCAGTTTGAGGTCATTATAAAAAGTTCTGTTATGAACATCTTGTATATGTCTTGGTAATCTGAAGTATGCATTTCTGTTGGGTATAAGAATAGGCATAGAGTTGCTAGTCATAGGATATGCATATGCTGGGCTTTAATAGATACTGCCAGACAGTTTTCCAAAATGATTACCCCAGTTACAGTCCCAGCAGTGTAGGAGAGTTCTAGTTGTTCCATAACTTCACTAAGACTTGATATTTTTAGTGGTTTTTATTTTAGCTGTTTGGGTGGGAGTGTAGTGATATCACATTGTAGGTTTCTTTTTTTTTTCTTTTTAAGATTTTATCTATTTCATGAGAGACACAGAGAGAGAGGCAGAGACATAGGCAGAGGGAGAAGCAGGCTCCCTGTGGGAAACCTGATGTGGGACTTGATCCCAAGACCCCGAGATCACCACCTGAGCCAAAGGTAGATAGATGCTCAACCACTGAGCTACCTAGGTGTCTCACATTGTAGGTTTCATTTGTATTTCCCAGAAACTTAATGAAGGTGAACAGCTCTTCCATAATGTATTTGCTTTTTGAAAATCTTGAGTGAAGTACCTGCTTAAGTATTCTCTCAAAAAAAAATATTTTCTCAATTCCTCTAAATTTTTTTTCTGATTTCTATTTTTTTATTTTCTGGGTACAGTGATATTTATGGAAGATTTATGTATTCCATATATGAGTCCTTTGTCAAAAATATATATAAATCAAATAATTTCTCTCACTCTGTGCCTTGTCTTTTCACTCTGTTATCTTTTGATAAATATATCCTAGCTACTCTCTTTTAAAGTTAGTATAAATTACTCGCTACAGTTAAAAACCTTAAAATGTTTTGAGTTACCTTCCCAGAATATATGCTATTAATGCTCAATATTTTTTTCCTCTCCCGAGTTTGCTGTATTGTTTTATTCAGTTGATACTTTCTTGCATCTAAAATTATGCAAGGGATTATCTTCTTTCTTTCTGAAATATATGCTTTAGAAACTCCGTTAGGAGGTTTTATTTGGTGATTAAAGTCTCTCACTTTGTCTAAAAATATAATTTTTCCTTCATCCCTGACATACATTTTCACTAGTTATACAATTCTGGATAGACATTCAATATCTTTCAGTAGCATTGTATTCAAGTTACACACTCTTATTTTTGAGAACTCAGCAATCAGCTTGGTTGTTTCTTTCTGGATGACTGGCTTTTTCCTTTGTCTGCTTTTAAGATATTTTAAGATTTTCTTTTATTCTTCAATATTATTCCATTTCTTTAAGATATAACTAGGTGTGATGTTCTTTTCTTTAGCCTGCTTGAGAACTTTGGGGCTTCTGGATCTACACATTGTTATCTTTCAACAATTCTCAAAAATTATCAGGAATTATCTCTTTATTTTTTCTTCCTTCCCACTCTTTCCATGGCTCTTTTGTAGTTAAGATTTCTCCATTTATCCTTGAGAATTCTTATCCTCTCATTCCCTTCTTTCCTATCATTTTCTCTGTGAAATATATTTTGGATAATTTCTCTAGATTTATCTTCTTGTTCCTTAATTTCTTCACCTGTGTCTAATTTTTTTTAAAGATTTTATTTATCTGTTCATGAGAGACACAGAGAGAGAGGCAGAGACATAGGTAGAGGGAGAAGCAGGCTCCATGCAGGGAACCTGATGGCAGGACTCAATCGCAGGACCCTGGGATCATGACCTGAGCCAAAGGCACACACCCAAACACTGAGCCACCCAGGAGTCCTCACCTGTGTCTAATCTGATGTATAATTTATTCGCCACATTTCCATATCAATTCACCAAATTATTTATCTTTTTCGAAAATGTTTATTCCTTGTTCATATTTTTTAATTTTTAAAATATATTAATATATGTTTTGTGTTTAATAATTCTAGTATCTGTAATATCTTGGAGACTGGCCCCTAGCATCTGTTCTGCTAGTTTCCAGTCACTGTGACTTGTTTGCTTATGTGTTTAGTAATTTTTGTCTATGAACTGTTAATTTTTAAAAGTATATATTTTAGAATTATTTGAAACCTGAAATAGAAGTTGCTTCCATCAAAGAGGATTTTGTTTACTTCAAGCAGTTGTCTGGGAGGGCTACCCAGCTGATACCACATTAGATTACACTGAATTTCTTTTGGACCACACACATAGTAGTGGGACTTTGAACTGCTTATTGGTTTGCATATCAGTTTATGGTAATCTTTTTTTTTCCTTCACCCAGCACCAGGGTCAAAATGGACAAGTCTCCTTGTGCTTACTGGGATTTATGTTTTGTTAATTTTTTTTCAACCAAAAGAAGTGATACATTTACTTCATTCATTTTTTAAGAGGCCTATTTGCATAGAAGGAGTATAGAAAGACACTCTATTGTATTTTTCTCCTCAAAACTTTCAGTTTTCATGCCCACTCTCTTTGATTAAACATTTTGTGCTACTCAAACAAGTACTGCAAAGAACTATTAATGGACTCAGCAACTCCCTTTGTGTTTTAGCAGTATGTACAGATTACTCAGAATAATCCTCTTTGGACTATTTTTTTCATGGCATAATCCTCAAATCTATAGTGACTCTCATGAACAGTACATAATTACATGAAAATAGCTTTCAGCCCCATATTCGGGGCTCTCCTGTAACTCTTTTATTCATTTCAACTAGTCTTCCTCTAACTTCCATTTTTTTCTATACTCCAAGTTAAGTCTACCTATTTCTCAATTTAAGGCATTTTTTGAGTGAAATAATTGGAGAAGGACAAACATTATATGGTCTCATTCATTTGGGGAATATAAAAAATAGTGAAAGGGACTAAAGGGGAAAGGAGAAAAAATGAGTGGGAAATATCAGAAAGGGAGACAGAACATGAGAGACTCCTAACCCTGGGAAACGAACTAGGGGTGGTAGAAAGGGAGGTGGGCAGGGGTGGGGGTGACTGAATGACGGGCACTGAGGGGGGCACTTGATGGGATGAGCACTGGGTGTTATTCTATATGTTGGCAAATTGAACATCAATAAAAATAAATTTATTAAAAAAATAAATTGGAGACTAGACTAACAAAAAAATTCAAGGCATTTTTAAAAATTTTTATGCTATTTCTATGCTTTTTCATGTGTCATTAATATCAGAAAATATCTTTTGCTACTTTTTACACTTGACGGGATGAGCACTGGGTGTTATTCTGTATGTTGGTAAATTGAACACCAATAAAAATTAATTTATAAAAAAAAAAGAGTCAGAGATATAACTGACAGAGCTACTCAGGCACCCCAGGAGGAGAAAAAAATTTAAAAAAAAATTAAATATTTTCTTTTTTGGTCTCAGTTTAATAAAATGAATATTGAACCACTTAAAAAAAAAAAAGAAAAAAATTTTTATCTCAGAATAAACACTTGAGATCTACCCATTTTATAATAAATCTGTAAGTATACAGTACAGTATTTTTAACTATAGGCACAGTCTTATTCATTTCTGTGTGGACATATCCTTTGAGGTCCTGGCTTTATACAGGAGTCTCCTATTATAAGCTCACTTGGGGCAGGCCCTGGGACATAGCTCCTGTCCTCTGCACATCACATAGTCAAAACAGGAACTCAAGAGATTCAGAGCTCAGTAAAAACCGTTAGAGTGGGAGTAGCTCTGACACTCACCTTCCAGGATTCCTGGTTCCTGTGAGTATATGGATGATTTCTTTTTACATCAGTTCTGTGATACTTTAATACATTTTCCAAAAATGTATTCGTTACTTTTCTTAGTCATGAGAATTATTTATATTCTCAAATCTACCATAGTCTCACTGATGTTGGATTTATTCTTTTATTTCCTACGATAAAGGAGGAAAGACGATCCACTAGAAGAAAGACAGTCTCTTCAATAAATGGTGCTGGGAAAATTGGACATCCACATGCAGAAGAATGAAACTGGACCACTCTCTTGCACCATACACAAAGATAAACTCAAAATAGATGAAAGATCTAAATGTGAGACAAGATTCCATCAAAATCCCAGAGGAGAACTCAGGCAACACCCTTTTTGAACTTGGCCACAGTAACCGGAGAAGGACAAACAGTGTATGTTCTCACTCATTTGGGGAATATGAATAATAGCGAAAGGGAATATAAGGGAAGGGAGAAGAAATGTGTGAGAAATATCAGAAAGGGAGACAGAACATAAAGACTTCTAACTCTGGGAAATGAACTAGGGGTGGTGGAGGGGGAGGAGGGTGGGGGGTGGGGGTGAATGGGTGACGGGCACTGAGGGGTACACTTGACGGGATGAGCACTGGGTGTTATTCTGTATGTTGGTAAATTGAACACCAATAAAAATTAATTTATAAAAAAAAAAAGTTTCGTTGGGAGATCTCCAGTGTGCCAGACACGTACCAGGTTGCAGAAATACAGAAAAAAATACCAAATGGTCTCTGATCTCATGGTGCTCATTGTATACCATGGGAGACAAACATGTACCCCATGTATTATGTTAGGCATGCTATAATTTACTTTAGAGAAGAAAATAAATGAAGAGAACTAAGTTATTGAGCACATGAACTAAACACTTTATCTGTATTGACTGACAAATAGCCCTGGAAAATAAATAGTATTAACCCCATTTGCACATGAAAATCTGCAAGTTTCCTAAGATTATGGGATTAGTATATAGTGGTCCTGGGTCCCAGAAATGCTTGACCTATATGGAGATGTGGTCACAGTTGTTTCAGTGCCATGGAAGCAGAAAGAAGTGAGGAATTGTGGTCTCTGGAGAGCAGGAAAGAGAAGGATGGAAGGGAGGCCTCAGAAGAAGTGACTTCTGACATAGATTTTATTTATTTGAGAGATAGTGAGAGCCAGAGAGATCATCAGTGTGTCAATTATCTTGGCCTACAAAAATCAACAGAAGCCGGTAGATATACAAAGAAATGAATAAATGTTTGTTGAGGATCTACATACTGTCACAATTTGTGCCTCACAAACCCCCTATGAAGTCTAACACATGAACCCCTTTTATAAATAAAGAAATGGAGCTGAAGGGATATGAAGTTATTTCTTACATGGCTAGTAAGTATTAGAGCTTATATTTGAATTCTGGTCTTCTACTTCTAAATCCAGTGCTCTTTCCATGACTGCATGACTGCCTCACACTAGGGCAAGTTTCCTGGTACATAATAAATGTTCAATAAGTGTTTATAAAATAAACTAAAATCCTGGACATGCACAACTTTAAAATCATTTGGTGATGGTGAAGAGAACCAGGAAGAAATGCAACTTACAGTGGCCTAGGGAGTGCCTGGCCAGCTTCGGGTCTTGGGGGCAGGCCTTTGTCTGGACAATGTGGCTCACAGGGTCCTGCTTTCTGGGCAGCATGTTCATGTTGCCTCTCTGGACTTTCATCACCTGGTTTCTTCCCAGCATCCCTCCACAGGCAGCCTCCTAAACATATTCAACAGGGAGATTGCTGTAGATCTCTGACTTACCTGCTCCGTTGGCCACTTACTTGCACTGTTCTTCAATCATTTATTCCTCACGCATAGCAATTTATTATGGTACTGAACACAGTCTCCCTAGACTAAGTTTCACGAGGATGCAGACCATGTCTTTTGCTCATTTCTGAATGGTCACAGAACACCCAGCACAGAGGCAGCCCCAAAGGAGGCAGCCAGCATATAACCAAGCACTGACTACAGAGCAGGCTTTTCATGTATCTTATCTCACCTAATATCCATGACACCCCATTAGGAAAATATCATTAGTCCACATAATAAGGACTTTAGAAAGGTCAAATAATTGGTCTTCAAATACTCTGGTCTCACAGCTAGTAATCTACCAGGGTAGGACTTGAACCCTGTGCTCTTGACCACCAACGGATGCTGTGTTCCTTTTGCCTCACATTTCATCTTTCCTCCTGCCATTCTTCTGTTCCTCCTCATTTCCCCACTGCAGTGTTTGTCAAACACTAATGCTGGGTTCTGGAGTTAGAGAGAAGCCATGGGCACAGTGGCCTACACACTGATCTTGGAGACAATACACACAAACATTCAGGTACAATGTGGCAAGTGCTATTTGCAATTGTATTGTTCACTGAGACAGAAACAGAGGAAGGGAGGTCAGTTCTCTTGGCTGGGAGACAGGGTGGAGAAAGACTTCCACAGTAGGTCTTATTAAAGAGTATTTTGAAATGTAAATAAGAGGGGGATCCCTGGGTGGCGCAGCGGTTTAGCGCCTGCCTTTGGCCCAGGGCGTGATCCTGGAGACCCGGGATCGAATCCCACGTCGGGCTCCTGGTGCATGGAGCCTGCTTCTCCCTCTGTCTATGTCTCTGCCTCTCTCTCTCTCTCTCTCCTCTCTCTCGTGTGTGTATGTGTGTGTGTGTGACTATCATAATAAAAAATAAAAAAAAGATGTAAATAAGAGATTGACTGAGGGGGTAAAGGAGTACCGGGAGGACAAATCAGCACGAGCAAAGGCATGGGTATCTGGAGCAATATTAGCGTCCTCAGACAGGTATGTGAAGGCTGATGCTGAGGGAAGAGTGGAAGAAGCAGGGAAAAAAGATGAAATGAGAAGATATAACAGGATGAGGCTGAGTAATGCAGGGTCTCTTGTGCAAGATTCAGTGTGGGCCTCACTGAGCCCCAGGCAGCAATCTGAGCTAGATGTGCATTTCAGAAAGATCTGGATGGATTGCCAGGAATAGACATTGGAAATCAAGAAGAATTACAGGCTTTCTGGCCATTTATCAGATGACAATGGGAGAGGAGATTACTGTCCTTCCGACTGCAAGCGGGCAGGAGGGTTGACTATGACAATACATCTGAAAGTACTTGGAGAAGCTGAAGTACTTAACAGATATAAAGTATGAGATTTCCTGAGTTCTTGGTGGGATCTGGGCAAACTAAAAGGAGAATATAAGGAGGGGCACTCTTTTAAGTCACATAGCCAAGAGTGAAATTTTTAATGGGGAAAAATGACAGTGATAAGTCAGAGTTTCACATAAGTGCAGTGACTGCCTTCCTTCACTGTGGCACCTAATAAAATGGTACATAGGTTCCCCTTGGGCTGTCCTTGGGAATGCTTTCTAGGGTCAGTTTGAACCACAGGGGATTCTGTAGTTAACTGACTTACCGTTTATATCTGACCACAAATCGCACTGCCCAGCTATACCACCTACATATACCTAACATAGTCCAAGTAACTTTTAACAATTTCCAAAACTCAAATCTACTCCATAAAAGCAGAAATATGTCCCTTCAGTGGTAGCTTGACCTGGCTCTTGTCAAATGGCCAGCATTGATAAAGAACATATCCCCCACTTTTGCTCTTTCATGGTCAGTATCCCTAACCATGCTCCCCTGTTGTTTTTCTCATGCTCCTGATTAACCCCTTTTTGATCTCTGGCCTCATTGCCCACTTATGTCCTTGCCCTCCCTCTGGAGTCAGTATGCAATGCCGCTTCCCTAACTCTGGTCCTTGTCTTTCATAATTAGCGACTTACTTCTTCCTTGAATTATGCTGCTTCGTGATATTCTATAAACACACAACCTGGTCCAGCCTGGCCTTTGGGCTTACACACCGGTTCAGGCCCATGCCACCAACAAGTGTTGACTTACTCAAGCCCTACAGATGGAACTGGAACAACCTGATATTATAAGATAGGCACATCTCAAATAGGTTTGTAGAATATTCTGAGCATTAGTAGCAGTGCTGGTGGTATCAACCGTTTAAGCTTCTGACCACTCTGTTTTGAAAGGGATAGTGTCAATTGGATATGAATACACACACAGATACAGTATTTACTAATAAGTCATAATTAACAATGTACTTCATTTTTATAGTATCTTATGGTTTACAAAGCATTTTCACATACATTACTTCATTTTATCATCACAAATGAGAATAGAATCAGGGTGGAACTGAGGATGGTAACTGGGTAGAGATTATTTATTTTTCTCTTGCAGATGAAATGACTGAGCTCAGAAAGTAAGTCATTCTCCTAACCAGGACCTCTGAGCACATACCTTAAGGAGGCCCTCCCTCCAGGGTAGTTTAATTGCAGGGCACGACACCCAAATGAGTGCCTATGTTTCACCCCTGAGTGCCTTGCTGAACTCACATTAGTCCCAGCCCTACTCCTAAGGCCTGCTTCATGGCCAGTAAGTAAAAACCCTGAAGCTAGAGCTCAGTGTTACTATCAAGTTCATTTCTTTGATAAAACACCCAACACCCACTGCATCTTCTGACTTTCTCTGGAGAGCTGTGTCTCAGCCTCTAAAAAGTCACTCCATGCACTACTCCTATGACATGCCTCAACTGGACTGTTTGGCTTGGAACCCTAGAACACCAATACCTTGAAAAGGTGGCTTGAAGGTAGATCCTTCTTTGGTTTTCGAGGTTCCAATCCACATGGTTCTTTTTCCTTTTTTATCTTCATCTTCATGTTTAGAGCTTAGATGTGAAGAGACAAAAGGGGAAAAGTGAGGGTTAGACAGTTTAGGTCATAGGGTACCACCCAATACCAAATGAAATGAATGGAAAAAATGAATGACATGAATAATCCCCTTTTTCTCCCCAGCTTCTTCTAAGATGAGGATCAGGTCACTCATTAGATATATTTGCTGAGTTTCTACCTGCCCCAATTAATGCCAGAATGAATCCCTGCTTAAAATCTCCTAGGAACTCCTCATCGCCTGTAGGATAAAACATAAGCTCATTGTGATCTGGCCGCAACCTTTCTTTCCAACCCCATCTCCTTCTGCTCCTTTCCTCCACTTTTGCTCTAGACTCTCACATTCTCCAAACCTACCATCCTAGCTCAAGCAACTCCTCCTTTTTGTTTGCTATTTCCCCTTACAGACCTGCCTCCTGCATCTTTTATTGTGGGGAACACAATACCCTTCTCAATTTGTCTGAATTGTCTTACTTCCAAGAATCCTTCCCTGATTCTCCCAGTCATACTTTCTTGCTGCTGCCCCAATACTTTATCCTTCTATCTTGCATTACAAAGCACTATGGATCTGCCTTCAGTTCCTCCACTTTGCTTTGTAAACTACATCAAATTTAAAGAGGCAGAGCTCTGCTATTTCTATATGTATCTACAGCACTAACACCGTATAAACTGCAGCAGCAATATAGCACAGTGCCTGGCACAGAGTGGCACTCAGCCAGCCTTCCTTAAGGAGATGAATGATCTCTGTGCACCAGTGTACAGACAGCAGCTGCACTGGAGGGGCAAGGTAGACAGTGTCATGAAAAACCCAAGGACCAAGGAAAGAATGCTAAGGAACATCAACACCCAAATGAGAACTTCTGCTTCTGGCATACTGAACTAGATTGACAACCATATTTATGTGGAAGGCAGAAAAAGAAGAGCCCTCAAAGAAACTCAGAAAAGGATGTCATCAAGAGAGGAAAAACACCAGAGATAGTAATGTTCTGAAAGACAATGGAGAGAGTTTTGAGGAGTTTCATTCATTCATCTAATTACTGAGCACTGTGCCCACTGTTAAGGCCATATGCAGTTTCGTGATGATTGGGGGCTGTGAGGGAGCCCACTATACATACGTCTTCCCACAAGTCTGAGATTAGCCTTTCTAAAAATTCGAATTTTCTCATTTTATAAATGAAAGGTCACAATGCGAATCTCAATGGTTGCCATGAGAATTGAGATGTGAGTAAAATGCTGAAAGCCTAGTACTGTTCAGAGCACATAGTGGACCCACAGTAATTGTTGGTGTCCTTTTCTTCATTGAAGCATTTGCTGTGTTAGAATTACCCAGTTCTTAGGTTCTCATTGCACATTGTTGGTATTTCTCCTAAAACATTAGCTGCCTTGTTGATGTATATGCCCTTGGTAATCCATTTTGCCCCTCAGTTCTTGTCTGGTAGTCTCGACATAGCTGGATCTCCATAAATAATTATAAAATTAAATTCAGTATTGTGGGGCACCTGGGTGGCTCAGTGGTTGAGCATCTGCCTCCCAGTCAGGTCATAATTCCAGGGTCCTGGGATCAAGTCCCACATCAGGCTTCCCACAGAGAACTTGCTTTTCCCTCTGCCTATATCTCTGCCTCTCTCTCCCTGTGTGTCTCTCATGAATGAATGAATGAATGATGATAAATAAATAAATAAATAAATAAAATCTTTTTAAAAATTCAATATTGTGACTCCTAGGAATACCATGAGGGAATGGAATATGTTATTTCTGCTTTGAAACTCTTGTGGCTTCCCCTGACCTATAGTATAAAGTCTAAATCTGTGCTGTCCACGTGTAGCTATTGTACATTTGAAATGTATCAGGTCCAAACTGAGCTGTAAGTATAAAAAATATTTGGATCTTGAAGACTTGTTATGAAAAAAGGATTATAAAATACTTCAAGTAATAGTTATTATATGGATTACATGTCAAAATGATAATATTTTGGATGTACTAGGATAAATAAAATGCATTACAATTAATTTTACTTGTTTCTTTTTACTTTTTAACAAATGGCTACTAGAAAAAATTTAAATAACGCCAGTGGTTTGCCTTATAGTCCCATTGGACAGGACTGGTCTAAATGGTAAATTAGGGAGTGCAGGCCTGGATCCAGTTCTGCATACTCCCCTGGCTTTGTTCCTGCTGCTCCCAAGGCATGATCCTTGTTTGTCGAGTTCTAGACAAACCTCACAGTGTTGAACACTATGTCTTTGCTCACACTTTTCCTTGTGCCTGGAACATACATTCTGACATTTTCACCTGGCCAATTCCTACAGGTCTTTCTAGATTGAACTCAGTTGTCAACTCTTCAAGAAATCATGCACAGAGCCTCATCTCTGCTTCTATAACTATTTAGCAGTGATTATATTATATTTTAACTTTTTACTTATATGGTCATTTGCCCCTCCATATAGCCTCTTACCCCCAACCATTCTGGCTTCCATGCCCATCTTGAACCAAGGGCAGAGAATATATTCTCTCCATTTATGTGCCTTAGAATCTAGTAGCAACTGAACAAAAACTCAAGAAGCATTGAATTAATCATTTGATATGTGCCTACCAATTGCTCAGCACCATGCTAGAGGGTAATTATGGGGAACATAAATAGAGGCAGGCCAGGACTCAAGGAGAGAAATGAAACAGGCTTCCCCCATGATCCAATGCTTGTATTTTTAGCCTTAGCAAGGGAGCTTTGATACTTGCTTCTCCATACCTCACCAACCATGATTACTCTAATGCATTAGAAATAACTCCAGGGAAAGAATGGTAGACACAGACTCTGAAAAGCCGAGTAAGAGCATGGCCCTTACCAAGGCCCTGCGCTGGACCCAGAAGTATGAGAGGCATCAGGAATACCAAGAACAAGAAAACACAGGCCCTCCTCACAAGGAGCTCACAGACAAGGTGGCAAAAGGGGGAGGAGAATAAGGAGGAACTGGCGTGTTAGCAAACAAATGACACACGATGATGTTAGTGCAAACTGTGTACCTTACAGAAAAGGGACTGGATACTTCTCTTTGAAGGAGGGGAATTAGGAAGGCTTCTTACAGGTGGGGATGTTTGATGGTCAGTAGGTGTTCGCCAGATCATTCAGTTGGGTGAATTAATGAATTAAGGGAGCAAACGCACAGAAACTTGGAACAGCATGGTACATTTTGGAAACTAAGTTCTTTGGGAATCACATGATGGTTATATGCCTATTTGTGTGATTCCCACAGTCCAGGAGTCCCTGGGGCTAGTGGCCAGGTCCCCATCACTGCTACTGCCCCAGTGATCAGCAAGAGGCTGGCACATGTTGGAGACTCAGTAAGTGTTTACTGATGAGTGTGATGTGGGCTAGAACAAGGCAGGACACCTGAGTACTTTCTCTGTACCAGGTACCTTATGAAGTGCTGGGGAGGCTGACCTGAGTCAGTTTCTGCAAGCATAGCTGGCCCATTGAGAAAAACAAGCCATCAGGGGGTCAGTGGTTAGATCGATGCTTTATTTGAAGATAAAACTCACCTAAATTCTGGGTGGAGACCACTCTTCCACGGCTGAAAGGAAAGATGGAAATGGTCATTTTCATAAACCAATCCAAACCATGCCTTTGTTGTGTGATTACAGATCATTAGAGACTTGACCAAAAGACAAAGCAGGTGAGGTCTCAGGACAAAGTGGACACTGACAACAGAAAATTTTAGGAACCCTGGCCAGTGGAGCTGAAGTCAGTGTGAAAGGAAAACAAGAATTCCCAAAGTTATAGTACATGCCAGAGGCAATGTATAAACTGACTTAGAAGAATTGTCTTCTGCATGTTTTTCCAGGAATGCATCTGTAGAATGAAAGCTTTCCAATCATTTGGGAAAATATGTGCTTGTGATATTGGAGTAATGTTTCTGTGGGCAGAAGGGGTAACACAAGTGTATCAGTCACGCTAGGAAGTCTCCCTTTCTGGTCATGTACCCTCTGATCTGAAATCAGCTCTCATATGATCTAGATTTGGCACTGTTAAGATTATGTCCCAGTGACCACAACATGGCTCATTTATTCAGTCTTCATATAGATCTGATTCATTCATTATTTTGAATCTAGATAAAAATGCTGAAGAAAACAGAAAATAGCTCAGCCTTGAAAACGCTGCCACCAAGACCAGTCTATTAGCTCATTTGCCCTCCTTTGAGGAAAGCCCTGCCAGCTTTCATTCAGGGACTACTGGTTTTTATTTTCCATATAATTCTAAGAAACTGGTGGCAGTTGGGGTAGAATGATAAGTCAGATGGACCTCTACTATATTATTTACAGGGTTAACCTCCCTGAGCCTCCAGTTCTCACCTGTAAAATGGAAGCAGTGATACTAGCTCACTGGGGAACACTGAGGATTAAGTGCTCCCACTTTTGTACAAGTGATGCTCTTCCATGTGAAAGACTCCCTGCTAGACACAAAGATGTTGACAAAGAAATAATAACTGTCAGAGAACAGACAGCAGTGACTACAGACAGACTTGTGGGGCCTTGGTGAAAAAACTAGCTCCTAACACCTAACAAAGGGCTAAGAGCATCACATAAAGAAGAGCATGAGCTGTACCCACTCAGTCTGTTATGTTCCAGAGGATTCCATGTCATCAAGACAGGGTAAGACCCAGACAAGAATACTGAGATGAATGCAATAGACATCTGAAAATTATGATATAAAAGTTAAAAATATGGGGTTCCTGGGTGGCGCAGTCAGCTAAGTATCTGACTCTTGGTTTCAGCTCAAGTTGTGATCTCAGGGTCCTGGGATTGAGTGCTATGTTTGGGTTCTGCACTCAGCAGGGAGTCTGCTTAAGACTCTCTCTCTCCTTCTGCCCTTACCCCTGCCATCTCTCTCTCTCTAATAAATAAATCTTAGAAAAAAAGTTAAAAATACTTTCATGCTTTTTTTCTCTTGAATCGGATAAACTCTAGTTATTTACAGAGGTCACTTGTGCAGAAAGGTTTATTATTTGGAGATGTTGCCAGATAATTGAACCATTTTAATGGAATGTTTCTACTCTCATTAATAAGAATAATCATTTATAGCTTTCAAGCTAGAAAATGTATCCAGAAATGAATGGGCCTTTCCAATAGGGGTAAGAAAACAAGCAGGAAGATGAAAGATCTTGACTAAGTGAACCTCGGGAGAGAAGACTGAACCTTAATTGACCCATTACAACATGAGGTAAGCACCTACTGTGTGCCAGGTGCTGTACTAGGAGCTTACCTACTTTGAGTTCTCTCAGCAATTCAGTGAAACAGGTGTAAACTCCCTTATTTATTGAGCATCTACTACAGCAGATGTGGTAACCACAGGGCATATACTTCCTGCCCTTGTGAAGAATACACCATTCTACAGAAGACACAACTGGAGCTCAGAGAGGTAAAATGTTGGAAGAGATGCGGGCATTTACTGTCAAACTGTCTACCTGAATTTACCTTACTCTCGTTCCCACAATGACCTCAGATGTGGGCAACTTCTATTATCTCTATTTTACAGGTGAAGAAATGGAGGTTCAAGATCACACAGGCAGGAGCTGGGATTGAGGCCAGCAGGGACTCTGTTTGGGCCCTAATCAAGCCGCTCCAAAGTGGCACCTAGCACTGTGCCCACCAGGAGCCAGAAAATGTGCCTTCAGAGGGCTGGTCATTCTTATGAAAGCGCAGAATATACAAATTTGGCTTGTGTCACAGCACTCCTCTCTCTGAAGGGACCGTTATTAAAGGCTAGTTGATGCTGGCCGCCATAGATAAGGGGCCGGGAATGGATTAGGACCAGCTTCTCCCTCCCCCCCACACCACCTCTTCTATCTCTGTTATTACAGGCTACAGAGTCTTAGCAGCTGGAGTCTTGGAAAAGCCTCAGGAATAGGGGGGTGTGGGGTTGGGGGCGGGGTAGGAACCAAAACAAAGAAAGACCTTTCTCTTTGCTCGTAAAAGAAACTACTTTACAGTCAATTCTGTATACCTGCTGTAGTTATAAAGTTGGTAAAAAGAGGAAACAGTACCTTTTGAGGTTCTTCAATTTCAACTTCATAAGTTGCTAAAATAAATATGAAAAAGAATCATATCAAAGACAGTTTTTTCACCCGTTTCCTACAGCACCCAGGATTCAAGCAATTATGAAGGGCTGAATAATTCAGTTTTCTCAACCTTCAGAACATGGATCTGTGTGAGGCTTTGTATGTGTGGTTTGGGGGAATTCTCGGGTCACTGATCCTGGCTTTCATCTCTCTGGGGATTTCCAGGATGGAATGTATGGTCAGTGAAAACACGTGAAATAATCTGTTTCCTGTCTCGGTTAATAGATGGATACTCCATGCTTAAGAGACAGCATTGAAACTCAGTGGTTGCAATCCTAAAGGGAACTTGGAAGAAAAGGGAAGGGAAAAAAATTCCCCCTCCAAAAAGAGCCTAGATCCCACTTCAACAAAATGAACTCCATTTTAGGCTTGTAAGTGTTTTTCTCCGTGACTGTTTTTTTTTCCCCTAGTACAGCTTGAAAAGAGGAGACTGGCCACCCACAAAGGTTTGAATTCCTTTTGATTTTTTTTCTGATAGTTCTGTGGATTTTATTGAATGAGATGATGCCAACCTTAATTATTAACAAACACAAGAAGTAGCAAGAATGTGAGTTCAGAGCTTAGTCCTACCACTTCCTGGAACCTGTGGGATTACAGACAAATTACTTCATTTTCTTGAGACTTGATTTGCTCATTTGAGAAATGCAGTCAATTAGTACCTGCTTTACACAGTTAATGGGGAGATTAAAGGAGATGATGTAAGAAATGGGACATATCTAGCAGAGGACCAGATGTTGTATAGAAAGTGATTTTTTTAAAAATAAAATTGCTTATTTGATTTTTCTTTGCTGAAATGTCATCTAGGGGCATGTGGGTGGCTCAGCGGTTGAGCGCCTGCCTTAGACACAGGGCATGATCCCGGGGTCCTGGATTGAGTCCCACATGGGGCTCCTGCAGGGAGCCTGCTTCTCCTGCCTATCTCTCTCTCTCTCTCTCTCTCTCTCTCTCTCTGTCTCTCATGAATAAATAAAATCTTTTTTAAAAAAAGAAATGTCATCTATAAAAGTTTTCCCCTACTATTAATGAATATGTGTGCACAATAAGTAGGACTCCCCCTGTTTTTCTTCTCTTTCTTGCTGCTACGGTTCTGAAGCTTCATTTCAGAAAAGTGACCAAAAAATAGGTTGCATTTCTTAAAAAATGGACTCTATGCCCAGTGTGGAGCCCAACGTGGAGACCCTGATTGAGACCTGAATCGAGATCAAGACCTGAGATGAGATCAAGAGTTGGATGCTTAACAGGTGCCCCTTGTGTTGCATTTTGAAGCCATTATTGTTCTACACAGAAAATCCACTGATAAAATAAATGAAATCCTAGGTTTTCTTTAGGGACTGTCTGCACATGATTGACACAAACACATAAAATTCTCTGTGAATGATTAATGCTATGCACTTCAACTTGAGTCATTGTACAATTTTATTTTTACTGATTTTTGAATCAAAATGTATAATTTTGCTACTGCTTGTATTAAAAGCTTTTAGTTATTAACACGTAATAAATATTTGCTTATGATGCAGTTTGCTCCATCTCTATTCCAAATATGGATTTCTTTTCCAATTTTAAAAATGATAATTTCCCTCTCCCAATTTAGCATTCTTTGGTTTTCAAAGAATTAGTAAATCATGATCTTCTTGCTTCTCATTGCTACCTGGGGACAGAGGTGATATGATTTTGTCTTAGAAATGGAGAAACTAAGTCTCAGAGGAACCTTACTTGCCAAGGCTAGTACGCAAAAATACACACTGAAAAATTCATTCGTAATTTGAGTATGCATTTTTTTTAAACAAAGTAGAGGTTCTTCAAAGATAAGTTTTGCCATCACAACCTGCTCCCAAGGAAGGAATATAAAGGACAAAAGATTGTACCTCAGGGGCTCAGGAAGGGAAAATGAGTCATAAGAGGAGTATGCAACCCACAGCACTGGAACCCATTCTCTCCCCTGAAAGACTTTATTCTAGCTGGGGAAAAAGGACACACATCACAAGATGGTCCTCAGCACCCTCCAACTGCTAGCACCATAACATGACTGCAGCTTGCAGGCCTTTGGCTTTTTCTCCAAGGGGTGAAGAGACTATTACTAAAAATATAAAAACAGTAATAAAAAGCAGATAACATTTTTTATACTTACAGATAGCAGGCACTATGCTGTGTTTAAATGTATGATTTCACTTAATTCATACAATGATCAATACCGACACCCCATTTCACTGATGAGGAACAGATGCCCAAAGAGTGAAGTAACTTGCCCAAGGTCACTCTATTAGCAAATGGTTTTCAAACTTCCTTCCAGCCACAGAATCATTCGTTTAAATGGAATATTGCTCATGAGCATGGTATGCTCATGATAGTTGATGTTATCCTCAAGAGTCTCCAGTACCTCTCAGAACAGTCCTAGGGCCTAGGAAGCACAGTTTGAATGGCTGGTCTAGATTACCTCTGAGAACAATTCTGCAGAGCTTCTAGAATAGCCTAAATCCTGCTTACCCACATTCTGGATAAAAGGGCAAAGCCTCAGAAAGGCACCAGTGCTGAGCTGTGCACTCCCAAGGAGATGGTCTTTGTTTTCCTGGCATTGTTCAAAGGACAAAGTCATGCAATGGTGACAGTAAAAGCTAACAGCATCATCCTTCCCTTTCTTTTCTTCCCTCCCTCTTCCCATTTCCTCCAGAAAGTTATAATTTAGATTCCTCACCCTTGGTGGGCAGAGAATGAAAGAAATATCCATTTTGAGTTAATCTTTGTAGAATATGTGAGACTTACATTGATATTTATTTTATTTTTACCTGTGGCTATTCAATTGCTCCAACACCACGAAAGGCTATCTTTCCCATTAAATGCCATTTTACAATTTTGTAAAAAAAAAAAAATCAGTTGGATGCATTTGTGTAGGAGTCAGCTCTGGGTTCTTAATTCTGTTCCATCATGCTGTGTGTCCTTCCCCATCAATGCCACACAGTTTTGATTACTAGAGCTGTAATTCTTGAAATTAGGTAGTCTGCTACCTCTTACTTTTTCAAAGTTGTTTTTTTTATTTTAGCTATTCTAGTTCCTTTGCTGTTCTATATACATTTTAGAATAATCTTGTTAATATTTACAAAAGACCTGGCTGGGATTTTTTATAGAAATTACAGTAAACCTGTTTATCAACCTGGGGAGAATATTTTTTCTACATAGAGTTTTTCAATCCATAGACATGGCATATCTCTCACATTTATTTATGTAGGTTTTCTTTGAATTATCCCATCAGCAATTTGTAGTTTCCAAAATTTAAGTCTTGTAATGTTTTGTTAGATTCAAACCTAAGTATTTATCTTTCTTTAGCTATTTTGAATATTATACTATTTTCCAATTTTAGGGGATGCCTGGGTGGCTCAGCAGTTGAGCGTCTGCCTTCAGGCCAGGGCATGATGCTGGAGACCTGGGATTGAGTCCCATGTCGGGCTCCCTGCATGGAGCCTGCTTCTCCCTCTGCCTGTGTCTCTGCCTCTCTGTGTGTTTCTCTCATGAATAAATAAAATCTTAAAAAAAAGATTGAACTTATTTCCCAATTTTAGTGTGTTCATTGCTAGTCCATAGAAATAGGGCTTCATGTTTATCTTGTATTCTGTGATCTTGCTGAACTCATTTATTAAGAACTAAGAACTTTAAGAGGAACTCTAAGAACTTTTTCTGTTTTTGGTAAATTCCCTGGGATTTTCTACCTAGGTAATCCTGTCATCTGAAAATAAGGACAGTTTAATTCTTGATTTGAATATCTTTTATTTCCTTTTCTTGGCCTATTACACTGACTAGAACTTGTAGCATTATGTTGAATAGGAGTGGTAAGAGTGGACATCCTCCCTTGTTCCCAATCTCTGGGGGAAAGTATTTAAGGTTTCTCCATTAAGTATCATGTTAGCTATAGGCCTTTTTTTTTTAATGCTTTTTTTCAAGTTGAAGAAATTACCCTCTATTCCTATTTTTCTGAGGGTTTTTAAAAATCATAAATGGTAATTGAATTTGTCAAATGCTTTTTCTGCATAGATTGATAGGATTGTGATTTTTCTTGTTTAGGCTGTCAATAAGAACTTTATTGATTGATTTTGATTGATTTTTGAATATTGAACTAGCTTTGCATCCCTGAAATGAACAGCATTTGATCATGGCATAATTCTATTTTATATCTTGCTAAATTCTATTTGCTAATATTTTGCTAAGGATTCTTATGACTATACTTATGAAGGATGTTAATCTGCAGCATTCTTCTCGTGCAGTGCTTCTGTCTGGGTTTGGTATGAGGGCAGTACCAGTTTCTCAAAATGAATCAGTAAGTGTTTCCTCCTTTTCCATTTTTCTTGGAAAGATTGAGTAGAATTGGTGTTAATTCATTTTTAAACACTTAGAATTCTCCAGTGGAATAGCCCTAGACTTTGAGATGGTCTTTTTGCAAGTTTTATGTTTTATTAATTAATTTTTAGATTTTAATTCCAGTATAGTTAACATACAGTGTTCTAGTTTTTGGTAGTTTCAAAATTATGGCTTCAATGTCCATAAAAGTTACAGGGCTATTCAAGTGATTAGTATTGAGTGGTTTGAGTTTTTTGAGGAATGTTGCATCTTTAAGTTGTCAAATTTAGATATGTAGAATTGTTCATAATATCCTCTTATGGTCCTTTTGATGTCTGTAGAGTCTGTAATGATATCTTTGTTTCATTCATGATACTGTTCATTTGTGTCTTCTTTCTGTTTCTTTGTTAGTCTTGCTAGAGGTTTGTCAATTTTGTTGATCTTTTCAAAGAAAAAGCTTTTGCTTTCATTGATTTTTCTCTACTGCTTTTCTGTCTTCAATTTCATTTATTTCTGTTCTTAATCTTTATTCTTTCCATCCTTCCACTTACTTTAGATTTATTTTCTCTTCTTTTTCTATGTTCTTGAGGTAGGATCTTACACTTAAGGATTTTCTTCTTTTTTAATGTAAGCA